ACAGAGTGAGACTCTGTCTCAAAAAATAAATAGTCAATCAACTTAACACCTAATCATGCAAAAGACCAGGTGGGTTGATATTTAATTGCTTTATTTGGAATTTATAGCTTCCAATAGTCTTTTTAACTATTGCTGAGACCAAGAGAGATCCTTGTATAAAGCTTCTGTCACACCTCACTTACAGTCAACTATGAGGTTAAGTAAGAAGTTAACTCTTAGCTTACTTAATCCTTGTTTGCAGACAAATTATCCACTCAGGACACTTTTTTATTTGAGGGGCGCTAATCCTTCTCCCCTGCTTCCTACCTTTCTCCCTTCCCTTCTTCCAAAGAGAAGGAACAGGACCATGCAATCAGGACCTTCCTTAAAACAATGACTTTCCAAGAAAAATGGTTCACTCACCCTATCCCAGCTGAAACAAAGTCCCAGTCGATCGAGCTGTTTCCTCATATGTTCAATATTACTGAGAAACAAAGGGAAGAAAGTTTGGTTTTTAGAGCAGGGTTAAAGCCACAAGCAAACTACAATTTGAGAATGTAATGGGAAACGGAAAAAGTCTAGATTATACAAAGGGGTTTTAAGTGTTGCTTTGCCCTGGCATAAAAACGAACCACTAACAATCAGTGAAAATATCCATATACAGTAAACTCCCCGCTATCTGGAACTCAAGCAACTGCCAAAAAGAAATATCAAAGTTTAAGCTGGTGCACTATCAGTAAGCCATCAGTAAGCCATGCTTCGTGCATCACTCTCACAGCTCCCAAGTGTTCTCAGCGCCCTGAAACATCCATATTTGGGATCTCTACTGCTTTCCTGGCTAGTCACAATTGGGTACAGACTTTCTTTCTACTAACGCCACTATGCTGCCCTGTGCTAATGACAAAATGACTTAGTCTTGAGATGAACTCAATGACTGGCTTGCTGTGGATGAAGCTGTTCCAGTAACTCACGCACTAAATACAGATGACCTCTTAGAAGCTGCTGTGAATAAGGAGGAAAAAAATGTTGCAGAGGAAGAATAGAGTGATGAGGACAGCTGTGAGGTGGAACATGCATCCTGGCAGGTGGCTACTGCAGCATTTGAAACTGTAATAGCCTTTGCAGAACAGCAACCTCTCACTCCTTAGCACCTTACACAGCTGCACACCCTGCAAAACCTGACTTTGTATGAGAGGCATCGGGCCTCAAAGCAAGCTGATATTTGTTTATATTTCAGGAAAGAGGCACACAATTTTGCCCATACAGCTAAATCTTCTACTGATGTAGATCCAAGACCATCCATATCCACTTCCCTTAATGCTGTCCTAGCTATATCATCATCAGACTCCGATGATCCCTATGTGATGTCCTTTATCCCAACTGTAACAGTTTTTTTGTTGTTGTTGAGACAGAGTCTCACTATGTCACCCTTAGTAGAGCGCCGTGGTTTCAAGCTCATAGCAACCTTAGGCTTAAGCAATTCTCTTGCCTTAGCCTCCCAAGTAGCTGGTATTACAGGTGCCCGCCACTGCGCCCAGCTATTTTTTGTTGCAGTTGTCATTGTTTTTTAGCTAGCCCAGGCTGGGTGCAACCCCACCACCCTCGGTATATGTGGCTTGTGCTGTAACTACTGTGCTACAGGCACCGAGCGCTAAGTGTTAAGAGTTTTAAGTGTTAAAGAGTGTTACTTGAAATTAAAAATAAAAAAAGGTAGTGGAAGTTAAAAAATGTATTGACTGCCATTTACCTAAAATGGTATGCTGCATTTACAAAGCTGTTTTATAATATAGTAAAACTGTTTGTAAGTGAAGTTTGTCTTTATTTGCCTTAATTAGTGTACTTCAATAATAATATCAAGTCAATACAGAGTTTATGGTATGGAATGGGGTATAGAATTAGTTAGGCCTATTTTTTTTT